CTGGGCCTGGGCACCGTCCCTCAGCTGAGCCTCTTCAGCTCAAGGCTAGAGCTCTACCACTGGAGCCACAGCGCCATATCCGGCTTTTTTCTTTTTGCTTATGTGGTGCTGAGGAATTGAACCCAGGGCCTCATGCATGCAAGGCAAGCACTCTACCACTGAGCCACCTTCCCAGCCCTTCATAAAAATTTCTAACTAAAGCTCTACCACTGCAGGAAATACATATTTTTCTTCTAGTACTGGGGCTTGAATGCAGGGCCTTAAACTCTCAGTCAATTTTTTCATCCATGGCTGGTGCTCTACCACTTGAGCCATGCCACCAGTCTGACTTTTAGCTGGTTATTTGGAGATGGAGTCTCACAGACTTTTCTATGCAATTTAGCTTTGAACCAAGATCCTCCAGGTCTCAGCCTCCTGAGTAGCTAGGATTACAAGGCACAAGCCACCAGTGCCTGGCTGAAAGAGTTTTGCTACATAGCTCCAATTGTCCTGGAAGTGAGGTGATCCTCTTGCCTCATCTCCCATACCAGTGCATTCAGCTTGCAGGAATATTTTTATAAAATCAGCTCAGCAAACAGAAAAATCCATCTTTTCTCCGAGATTAATTTCAGTGTTCTCCCTTCCCCCAGCACTTAGGATATAGGACTGGAAAATTAGGAGAGCAAAGAAAGGAGGCAATCCTTGTCCTGTCTTACAAAGATGTTGCATGTACCTCTGTGCAAGTTAAAGCTACCACTCTGCATCTTATGGGATGCTAAGGATGTGACTGGACAGTAGAGGGCGCTGTAAAGCCACAAACATTGTTTTCATAAAATAATTTCTGGGGCCAGAGAGCTTTCCAGACAGAACTAGGGACGTTGGGAGGTTGGCCTCTTTAGGCCTTGAATGCTTTAGGGTGCTATAGAAAATGTTCTTTTCTTTAGAAACCTGAGTAATACCTGAGAAGTAGTTGGGGAGAGAGGTGCTAGAGAATTACATCCTCAAACAGCTGGTTTTGAACCAAATAACTTTAGCTAAATAGCTCACTGAGATTTAGTTTGTTTCATTGCATTTGAGGAAGGCTGTTAATATCTTTCTTTTCGGGAGGGGATGATATATGAGGTTCAAAATCAGGACCTGTCATTTGCTAGGCAATCTATTACTTGAGCCATACTCGGAGTCCTTTTGCTTTTAGTTCATTTTTTTCAAATAGGGTTTCATGTATTTTCCCAGGGTTGCCCTCAGAGGCAACCTTCCTACCTATGCTTCTTGCATAGCTGGGATCACAGGCTCATGCCACAACTCCCAGCTTATTGACTGAGACAGGATCTTGCTAACTTTTTGCCCTGTCTGACCTCCAAGAGCAACCTTTTTGATCTTTGCTTCCAGCGTAGCTGAAATGAAGATGTGAGCCACTGTGCTTGGCTGAAGGCTATTCTGCTTCATAGAATTAGGGATAGATTTGCATTAGGAACCTTGTAAGAGGTCTGAGGTTGTACCTTCCGTGTTTATGTATCAAAGGCCTACTTCTCTGCCAGGCCACAATCCTTGGTTCTGGAGAGTCAATGAGAACAGAAAGTCAGAATGACTGGCTTCCTCACAGAATTTAAAGTTTTTAAAGATTTTAACCATATCACTTATGGACAATAAAGGAGTGGTCCTCAAGCTCAGTGAAGAGGAAGGGTCCAGGCAAGTAGATTTCCTTGGTGTCATTAGGACAGAGTTCAAAATGAACGCTAAACAGGAGTTTACTAAGCACAGACAGAAGGAAAAGTCTTCCAAGAAAGGGGGAAATGGCTGGGCTTGAGGCTATGACTTAATATTCCAGTGCTTGCTGTGCATATGTGAGCCCTTGGTTAAACCTCTAACACTGGGGAAAAAGGAGGGGGTGGAATAGAAGGGAAAATAGCTTCTGCAATGTCCAAATATGTGGGAAATGGACACAGTGTTAGTGACAATTAACACTAACACTGAGAGGCAGGGATAAGATCATCCGGGGCCTCATAGACCTCCTTAAGGAGCTTTGTATTTAGCCTAAGAACAATGGGAAAGCAGGAACACGTCTTTGTAGAGGTCTCTCAGGCTGTAGGACTCAGCCTTCTCCTCAATGTGGGTTTAGGCACTTAGATTTCTAAGTTTTGCTGACTGGTTCACCTTCCTTATCCCCTGGGAATCTCAAGATCTCCCTTGGTGACAATTGGAATGAGTTTTATTTGGGCTTCTGAGGAGGCTCTCCTCCTTCCCAGGAAGACCTTGATCTTATTTGATCCTTATAGCACCCCTGCCAAGTAAAGCATGTTCTGCATTTTACAGATGAAAACATGGAGGTCTAATGGTACTATAGAACAGGTTCATACTAGCTTGTGAAAGTCAATTGTTAAAATGTCTGGAATTTTATAGAGTAGTTGTTAAACATAACCACTATTTAAAGTTTAATCATGCAAACTTAGAAGGGAAAGGGGTACATTATAGTGATAGAATGTTTTGCCTAGCAAAACATTGTGCAAGTCCCACAAAAAAAATCATACAATAAGTTTATCAAAAACAAAGGTAATGGAGTTGGAGATTTAGCTCAATGGAAGAGGATTTGACTAGCCAAGTGCAAGGCCCTGACTTTGGTTATCAGTTCTGGAGAACAACAACAAAAACAAATACAATAAGCTCCCTAAATCCATTGCTTCCTAATAATATTACCTGGGCACTTGGGTTATTTATATTCAATGTAGCACATGATTAAACTACCCCATTGTGAAAGATATGTTATAATCCACTTTTTTTTTTTGGTTAGTCATGGGGCTTGAACTCTGGGCCTGGGCGCTGTCCCTCAGCTCTTCAGCTCAAGGTGGGCACTCTGCCACTTGAGCCACAGTACCACTTCTGGTTTTCTGGTGGTTATTGGAGCTAAGAGTCTCATGGACTTTCCTGCCTGGGCTGGCTTTGAACCACAATCCTAAGATCTCAGCTTCTTGAGTAGCTAGGATTAAAGGTGTGAGCCACTGGCACCTGGCTTACAATCTTAACTCTGTCTAGTAAGGTCAGGTGGATGGGAATAATCAGCCACTGGGCGAGTGCTACAAATCACTGTTTAACTTATTGTTTTACTTATGACTTAGATATAAGAAAGTGAATCGCCTATTGCTGATGGCTCTCACTTGCAATCCTAGGGGACCCAAGTGCCTACTTGGTGCAGACCCAGCCTGAACAGAAAAGTTCACAATATCCCTTCTCGATGAAATCCTGGTTAATCCACTAAAGTTGTGGGGCCTGAACACTGTCCCTCAGCTCTTCAGCTCAAGGCTAGCGCTGTACCACTTGAGCCACAGCACCACTTCTGGCTTTTTCTGTTTATGTGGTGCTGAGGAATCGAACCCATGCAAGGCAAGCACTCTACCACTGAGCCACTTTCCCAGCTCCAATCCAGTCTACTTTTTATCCTTCATAGCTAAGAAGCCTAACAGGCAAATAATATCCAGAGGAGATCTGATCTCAAGAATAACTCACAAAAAATAGGGCTGAAGGTGTGGCTCAGCAATATTAGTGCCTGATAACCAAGGAGTAGACCCAGAGTTCAAACCCAGTAATGAAAAAAATAAAAAAAGAGGGGGAATGTTAATAATTCCGATTTAGAGTTTATGTTATATAGTTGTTACATTATGACTAGCACAAAATTGAGAAAATACTCTTTTTTAGTATTTGAAAACTTTTGTTTTTTTTTTGGGGGTCTGGTCGTGGGACCTGAACTCTGGGCCTGGACGCTGTCCGTCAGCTCTTCAGCTCAAGGCCAGCACTCTACTACTTGAGCCACAGCACCACTTCTGGCTTTTTTTTTTTCTGCTTATGTGGTGCTGAGGAATTGAACCCAGGGCCTCAGGCATGCAAGGCAAGCGCTCTACCACCGAGCCACCTTCCTAGCCCCTGAAAACTTTTCTGATTTAGCAAAGAAGTCTCCTCCTGTCACACTCCTTGGTAAGGGCTAAACACTAGCCCAGTGGTAGCCCAGTAGTTGAGTTCCTTCCTGTTTATCGTGTATGAGGCTCTAGGTTCTGTCCCCAGCACCCCAAAATACACAGAAGAGTTTGGCAAAAACCACGGAAAGCATTCTATGACAATCAGTTATATAGAATTTGTTACTGAATATATTTTATTATTTAGTAATTGTGGTCTATACGACCTTTATACCAACACAAATTGTGATCAATTTATTTATCTCTATATATGCCACACAGTCCCTTTCTTATAGAGAGCTGGTTGTTAAACACATTATCAGGAAACCTTGTTCATGTAGACATTTGCATAGTTGAGTGAATGCCAGGAGGAGATTAATGAAATGATTGGTCCAAGACACACATAGGTAGGACAAGAACTACAGATAACTGTCAAGGCCAGAGCTATCGTTCAGGAACCAGGGCTTCTCGCGCTCTACAGAGTGGACGAGTCGAGGCCTGGGTGCCCAGGAAGTGAAACGCAGGGGTCGAGGCCGGAGACCGACGTGGGCACAAACCCAGCTTAGGGCCAATAGCGACCCGATGCGCGCAACGTCACGCGCAGTGGAGACCAGCGCAGTACGGCCCCGGAGAGGGGCGTGGCCACGTCTCCCGGAAGTGACGATAGTTCGGGGGCCAGTCCTCCGGCGGCGGTGGCGGCGGCGG